GCCCCAGCTCCGTGCCCGCGGCCGCCCGGCCCTGCCTGGGGCCGCCCTGCGGCATCTCCGGCGGCACCATCCCGCCTGGCGCCGCGCCTGCTTTCGCTTCTCCCTGCAGCCCTGCGCGCGCAGCCGCCCCCGGCGCAGCTGCCGCGCTCAGCCGCGTCGTCCCGGGGCTCGCCGCGACCCCTGGCACCGGCACGGAGCCTGCTGTGATCCCTGGYACCGGCACGGAGCCTGCCGCGATCCCTGGCACCGGCACGGAGCCTGCCGCGATCTCTGGTACCTGCTCGGTGCCGGCTGTCCGAAGCACAGCGCAGGCTGCTCGAGGGCACAGGTTCGGCTGCTTACACTTTCCAAGTAGGCAGGTTCTGCTGATCCGCATCCACAGCGTGCAGGACTTATCCGCACGTGCCCAGGAAACCGTGTGGGCCAAGGAAGAAAGTCCTTGGTGAATGAGGCGCCTCGCTCAAGGGGTGACTTGTCACCCGCAGGCTCCCAGTTCTGAATGGRATATTCAGGACACAGCTCCCTTACTCCATGGCAGGAGTTGCAGCACTGCTCTGTTTGAAGCTGAGCCTTACTCACTTTCAATTGTTTTAAGTGTTTGCTTTTGCTCAGATTTCATTGAATCATTATGATTAGAAAAGACCTTTCAGATCATCAAGTCCAACCATAAGCCCTTCACCAGCATGCCTGCTGAACCATGTCCCTAAGTGCCTCATCTACACATTTCTTGAACACTTCTAGGGATGGTGACTCCACCACTTCCCTGGGCAGCCTGTTCCAAGGCTTCACCATTCTTCCTGGGCAGGATTTTTTTCTAATATCCGACTTGTACCTCCCCAGGCACAACTTGAGTGCTCTGGCACAACTTCATCAGATGTCCCTTCAATTGTGGTGCGGTATTTATATTTTCCAACACTAGTTTCTTCATTCTGTGTCAGGATGTTGGATTTATATAGTGCTACCTTGTGCTGAGGGGCCAAACTAAACATATTCAAACATAGCCATGTGATTTTTTTTTCCAGAAAGAAGTTTTTAGGGAATTATTTTGTTGCCCAGTGTTGTTAATTCTGTGTCTTTTTCTTCTTGAGTTTGGTTCCTATAAATTTACTTTCAGCCACTTCTTCAAAGCAGGACTGGAGGGTACTCAGGGTTATTGCTCATCCCTATGCCTTCTCTTAATGAAGTCTGTGAAGATCCACATGCATTAATTCTATTTACATGCTTGATAAAGGAAACATACATGTCAATATGTATTACAAAAACAAATGTAAGAAGCTTCACCTTGGGATTTAAACCGTACCCAAAACAATGTGAAGGGAATGTCAACTTGCTAAGTGATTGGAAAAAAAAAAAAAGTGGAAATGAAAGTTTTAACTGATTATCTGGTAGATGAGTCCTTCTGTTCCAGACTTTACAAACAATGCCCAAAGGGAAATCTTGCGTTTTTTGGGGGTTTTTTGTTTTTTTTTTTCAAATAAAAGAGCTAAATACCTTCCATCTTGGTTTTGCTAATAGTAATTCCAGGAAGTAGCTTGCTTTAGCTATAGACTTCTCAAACAAGAAAGCTGTTAAATGCTTTCTAAACAGCATAAGAAGGGTGAGATAAACCTTTACGTGCTAGAGTAGAGAAGTAAATTTCTGTTCCTATTGCCTTGCATCTTTATAAACCTTTGCAAACTGTCAGGTCAGTTTTAGCTGTGGAAATGAATGCTTTTATCTGCTTTTACCTTACCTGTTTTGGGGTCAAGTGATTTTCACGTGAGTAACATTCAGACGCTTCTTTTCATAGTGATCTTTAGAACCTGCATGTCGGAGCACACATTTGTACCCAGTATTTTGTTCCAGAATACCCAAAGGGTAAGAGCAAGGCTTATGATTAAGCTGCATGAACAGGACTCTCGTTGGGGACACAGGAGAGGACAAAGTAAGTGTTTTCCAGTAGCTAACAACAACCAGGAAAGCTCTTAAACGTGTACCACAGGAATAGGAAACATACCAGAAACTCATCAGTGTCAAGGAGAGTGACACTCATGGATAAGTATACATTGTAAGAGAAACATTGAAAGATAAAAAAGGTTATTTGTACAATCTGGCACACATCATTATTTCCATAATGCTGGTATCTCATATTTGTCACAACCACAACTTACTTTTAAAGTAAAAAAGCCCAGAGCACTTTAGGAAATATCCTCTGCTCTGAGAAAATTGCATACTTCAGTATTGAATCACGAGTTGGCAGTAATGACACTTGCGTATGTCCTTTAGAAGTGTACTTCTGGTTTTATATGAATATTTTGTCTAAAATGAAACACCACAGAGTTTTGCAGGAACATTCTGGATGAATTTATCATGAAACATCTAATATCAGAAAGACATAAGTTAGAAGAGAAAATTTTGCTAACATCTGTTCTCATTCYACTAAAGAACTGTTTTCCCTAATGAGTTTTACGACTCAATCTGTTACCCAATTATACAGATAACTGTATGAGTGTATCGAGGTGCTGACTTCACATGGATTGGGAAGAGTCTGTCATTGCTTCCTACTCCAGGACTTTGGAACATGTTTCAAGGCTCAGAACCCTGATCCAATCCCAGGTTGCCATCAGCTACACTGCATTGTTCAGATATCAATCAGCATTAAGACACCAGACACAGATTTGTGTTCTTTGTTATTCAGTGCTTACTGATCAGTGKGAACTTTGGAGCAACACAGTAACTGGCTCCACTTGCCCTTAGAGTCACACAGCTTCTGCCACATCCACCMCAGATGTTGACAGCAATGTTTATGTCACACTTTTTTATCCAAAGGCACTCCTGCTTGCTCCACTGAAGTTCTACACTGATCTCTCTTGTCTTTAAATTTAGTATAGAATAAAGTGGAAAGAATCATGAAATCACAGAATGGCTGAGGTTGGGAGGGACCTCTGGAAATCACCTAGTCCAACCCCCTGCTCAAGCAGGGACACCTAGAACACATGGCACAGAATCTTGTCCTGGCAGCTTTTGAGTATCTCCAGAGAAGGAGACCCCACAACTTCTCTGGGCAACTTTTTCTAGTGCTCTGTCATAGAATCATAGAATCATAGAATCACAGAAACATGGAATGCTTAAGGTTGGAAGGGGCCTCCAGAGGTCATCTAGTCCAAACCGCCTGCACACGCAGGGTCACCTAGAACACATGGCACAGGGCTTCATCCAAGCAGTTTTTAAAGATCTCCAAAGAAGGAGACTCCACGACCTCCCTGGGCAGCCTGTTTCAGGGCAGTGTCACCCTCATTGTTAAGATTTTTTTCCTTAAGTTCCTGTGGAACTTCCGATGCTTCAGTTTGTGGCTGTTTCCTCTAGTTCTGTCAGCGACCACCACTGAAAAGAGGCCACCCCACCCTCCTCACTCTCTCCCTTGAGGTATTTATACAGACTGATCAAATCAGAGATCTCTGAGCTTTGCCATTGAGCCAATTCCTAATCCATCTCCCCATCCACTCATCTATCCCACACTTCCAAACCTTGATCAGGAGAATGTTGTGAAGGACGGTGTCAAAAGCTTCACTCAAGTCCAGATAGATGACATCCATTGCTCTGCCCTCATCTATCCAGCCAGTCACTCCATCAGAGAAGRCAATCAGGTTAGTCAAGCATCATTTCCCCTTGGTGAATCCATGCTGGCTACTCTTGAGCACCTTCTCCTCCACGTGTCTGGAGACAGCAGCAGGATGAGCTGTTCCATCACTTTTTCRGGGGATGGAGGTGAGGTTCACCRGCCTGTAGTTGCCTGGGTCCTCCTTCTTGCCCTTTTTGACGACCGGGGTGACGTTGGCTTTCTTCCAGTCCTCCGGCACCTCCCCCGTTCTCYAGGACCTTCCAAAGATGATGGTGAGCRGCTCGGCTGTGACATCCGCCAGTTCCTGCAACACCCTGGGGTGCATCCCATCAGGGCCCATGGATTTGTGGGTGTCGAGTTTCCTTAGGTGCTCTCTGACCCACTCTTCCTCTATCCAGGGCAAGTCTTCCTCTCTCCATCTCTCTTCTCTTGTCCCTAGGGCCTGGGATTCTAGAGGGCTGCCCCGGGCAATCACCGAAGCAAAGGCGGCATTCAGCAGCTCTGCTTTCCCTGTTTTTTTCGTAACCAGAGTACCCACCTCGTTCACTAGTGGACCAACGTTTTCCCTGACGTTCCTTTTGTTGTTAATATATTTGAAGAAGTTCTTCTTGTTATTTTTAACATTCCTTGTCAGATTCAACTCCAAATGTGCCTTAGCTTTCCTTGTTGCATCCCTGCATTTCCTGACAACATTCCTGTATTTCTCCCAAGGGACCTGCCCTTTCTTCCACATTCTGTATACTGCTTTCTTCTGTTGGAGTTTTGCCAGGAGCTCCCTGCTCATCCACGCAGGTCTCCTGCCCCCTCTGCCTGACTTCTTACACACA